TCTGTGGGGCCACGTAAACAAATGGTTTATGCAGCAGACATTAATAACATAGAGACGCTTCATCAACCATTCGACACCGTGTCGGAGTATTTGAAATGGTCCGCCAGTCAAATGATCCGACGTGGGTGCATGGCCGTAGAAGCAAGCCGGGGAATTTTGAACATTTGTCATGAGTTGGCATGTTGAGGTACAACGATGGTCGTTTGGACATATGTTGATATGGATTATTTTATCTTGTTTTGGTGTCCAGGAAACCGACCCAAAATTTGTAGCAAAAGTATTTTGATACACTCCTGTGTATATAGTGGGCTATAAAAGAGGATGTTGCGCGTCAACTACCAACTTTCAATATTTTTCATTCTCTTTTAAATTTATCGACAAAGCAACATTAGATTGTGACATAGGGAAATGAAAGGGCACACCAATCTGCCATTAACTGCCACAATTCCATTGACTTGATGACAGAAAGCTTCTTAAAGCCGACAGTTGAACAAAAAAACAAGTGATTCCGGGCGAACACCACGGAAGTGCCTATAGTAACTCACATCAGGCTCACGTCTTCTGTGATTGTCCTGGCTGTCAACGAGTGCTTTATAACATTCCACTTCTTCGCGCAGAAGCTCAAAAGAAACACCATCGCCTTTTTATAATGCTGGGACCAGTGGTTAAAGCTCAGACCACCAGTGGCCCTGGCAGAACTCTCTGCCTTCTCCTCCTACCGGTCATATTGACCCAAAAGTGATTGTCCTGAGGACTGTAAGGACACTTTCTAGCTCCCTGATTTGAATATTCTGAACTAGAACAGTTTGATGGTGAAATAACATGCATGACAATTCCAATCCCTCGAAAGCCAACTTTAGTTTTTCCTAACAATGGTGGTGCCACTTTCAAAAGAGGTTCCAAACTTTAAACGTCTGTTGGTCCCAAAGTTCATTTCAGACTTCAAATGAACCTCATATATGCACTTCAATGTCTAGATATACTGTAAAATGGTTAGTTCGTTCTATAATTCTAGAAAAGTAACTTTGCTTTTATCTACAAAATAGTCAGAGTAAAATGCATCATTACTGGCCATATATTGGTTGGCGCGTTTAATCATCGCTCTCCACGCCTGAAAATCATTTACGCAGTCATTCGTGGTGTGTGAGGAAAATTATTCTTCATTTTGCAGTCTCTTTCCCACATACGCCACGCTTGACCCTATCGCTACTCTTTGCCTTTTTTCCCACGTGATAAGTTCAGACGTTCCGTTCTTTAGTTTCACCAGTTCAAACCTCTACAATTAGAATATTGGCATTGTTGGTCGAATCACCCGCTTTTTTCCCGTGTTCCAATTGTTTTACTCGTTTCAGTTTTTCCCAAGAACTGCCACTTCAGGGAAACTGGCTCCAGCATGGAGCTTCCCCTAAAAACAATAATCAGGACATCTTCAATCGTCATTTTCCTCTTCATAATCCTATCCTTAATTCCCTACCAATTTCTTACCATTTATATCACATACCTGCTCCATTACCATTCTGATTGGAACTCTCTACTTTGAATGGCTCCCTGAACCTCGTATTGGGTGAGATTTTTAGTATTAAAAATATCGTCACTGGTGAAAATCTAGTTTAATAACACAATACATATGAGAGCTCTATTATTAGCTGGCTTAAAATCTTGACTATTTCCCCTTGATTCTTTTATGCATTTTCGATCAAAACGATATTTCGCAATGCATTCCATTATATATTTAATAGTCCACTTATGCTTGTAATGCTTGTTTTCATTTCTGACCAATGACAATCATTTATGTTCAATATACATTACAGATACTGAATACCAAAATTCTGGGAACAATTTTTTTATAAACACTTTTTTTATAATCCATTGATTAATCGTCATTTTTTCCTCTAGCGTTTTAATTATTGATTTTCTTAGTCCAAAAATTAGGCTAATTAAACCAGGAAATAGTAGAGAACTGGTAAAGTCAAAGGGCCAACATGTTAAAATTCATTTTCTGTGTTTAAATGCGTCCGTGCTGAAATAAAAACGTGATTATTATTTCATTTTTATTGAAGAATTCAAGTGAAATATGAACTGAATTCTGATCTTCCCTAAACATATTAACACAAGAAGTGGACATGGGCTTACAACCACCATATCACTGGTTCTCATACAAACCCGAAGTTGGGTTAACGTCGACCCTGGTTGTACCCAGGTGGGTGACCAGTTGGGAATACCAGTACCGTAAGCTTGGATGTGCGGCTGGTGTAATGGTTAACAGTTCAGAATTTTAAATCGGAGAGCTGAATTCCAGTTCCAGTCGGGCCTTTTGCCTCACATCCAACTATCCTTAGGAATTTACTTCTTCTTCCCCACTAAATATTTACTGGCGGTTTACTAACTCATAAAAGCGTTGATAAAACCGTAAAAACAATTCTATCAATCATTCAATGGAAGGAACATTTTAACCTCGCTCACGCCCTTTTTGCTCTTCTAGCATATCAGTGCACACACAAACACGTATTATATCTAACTAATAGCCCTTGTTTTTATATATATATATATATATATATATATGTGTGTGTGTGTGTGTGTGTGTGTACTTACGAAGAGTTTCATGCACAACGTAATTTTCAGGTGCTATAGACAGTGGCTGTTATGTAAAAATGTATATTTATTATTATATACTTATTAGTACTGTTATATTATATCGAGCACAACATTCATATATATATATATATATATATATATATATATATATATATATATATATATATATATATATATATATATATATATATATATATATATATATATATATACATGAACTGACTAAACTGACAATTATTTTAATATATTTATTGCTTATACGTTATTTTTTATAGATACAAATATTTCTGTTTATAAAAAACAATATCAACATTTGCTGGCCTGAATGCCTGAGAAATATTATGTCCTCCGATAGAATCGAACGTATAATCTACACGAACCATCATATGAGCCTGATTGTGTTATGCCATTTATTCGATAATGGAAGCGTTTGATTAAAGCAGTAATTGACTTGCTAATCAGACGCTTCTTCTGTAGCTAAATGGTATAGCAGAATATAAAACGTTTTAGTCAGACCGGAGTCAGACCAATAGACGGATATTGTAATACAATGTTTCAGTATATAATTCCCAAGGAATGGGAAACGGATATTGATATAAAACTTGCAAATATTAAACCCTCAGCAAGGTTTCAACCTTACGGTCATCAACTTTTGAGCAAATTACCAAGAAATGAGACCGTAGAGTTGAACAGTGTGAGCCCTAAACATGATATATATATATATATATATATATATATATATATATATATATATATATATATATTAAATTTTTTGAATAAGTTGTCGCTGTTTTCAACAGATGACGTTTCCTAGATCAGCGGGCGTGTAGTTTCAGATAGTAACGCATCTATAAGAAAGTGCTATAAGCAAGATTGAAATTCAGTCCATGTCATTTTTGCCGAAGTATAAAACAACTTGTTTTTCATAGCGTTAAACATGTCGGTTTCGTGCCAAATAAAGTGTATTTGCAGGGAATTTTTATTGCACTACTTTATTTTTTAAAAAACTGCAGCTGAAGCACACAGAATTCTTGTTGGAGTCTTACAGCGACCATGCTCTGTCAGAAATGGCATACAGGATTGGTTTAGACGCTTCAAAAATAATAATTTTGATGTTGAAAATAAATAACGCTTTGTCGCACCGGAAAAGTTTGAAGACGAAGAATTGCAGAATTATTAGAGTTGATGTCACAACAGTTTCGTTTGAAAGCATATAGGAATGATTGAAAATCAAGGACATTGGGCGCCGTATGAGTTGAAGCCGAGAGATCGAATGACGTCTTGTCACGTGTGGACAGCTGCTTCAGCGGCAGAATAGAAAAGTTTTCTTTCATTGTATCGTGACCAACGATAAAAGTGGATACCTACGATAACCGTAAGCATGAAGATCTGCCCCAAAACCATGCCCCCATATATAAAAACGGGAAAAACAACACTTGGTCGATTTTTTCAGGATGAAAAGTCGTCGCCTCTAAGTTTTTACTTAATTTTCCCTTTTATTTTAAAAGCTTTTCTCTGATTTGAGCATTTTATCCCATAAATATAGCCCCCTTAAAGTATATTTCTTATTATATATATATATATATATATAAAAAAGGGGAGAGGGGAGAGAAAAAAAAAAATTTCAGTTGGTAAAAAAGATCTCGTTTTAAATACAAGGTCTATATAAGATGAATCGCTTTGCGAGCTCAAAAAAAATAAATTGTTTTCTCAAAAAGGACGCCGTTTGTTTTTAAAGTCAGTTTGGGTTCCCATTAACGTTTTTGGGTTTTTTTCCCTTTTTTTATCGCTTATTTACTCTTTTGGTTTTGATTTCCCCCTTTTTTACCTTGTAACGGTGCCCAAAGCTAAAACCCATCTAAAAGGGAAAAAATTTCATTGGGGAAAAAGGGAAAATTTAAATGATTTTAAATGAGTGAAAACCCTCGGGCAATCGAAAAGTTAAGGGTTTTAACGAAAGGAAAAAAATTTAAAATGAAAATGGGTAAACTTTCCATGAAAGCAGTTTTTCCAAAACAGAGAATTTGGAAAGGAAAAAAAAAAATTTTTTCAAGATGTTAAAAACCCCGGGAATATACCAATTTTTTTTAAATTCACGTAGGTTTTTAAATCTTTTTTTTTGGAAAAAAAAGAATGCAAAAAAGGACGCCGGCAAATCCTTTAAATGAACTCTCAACCCAAAAACCCCGGCTACCCTTTGCATTTAAAAGAGCATCTTATAGTAATCAATCCAAAATTTTATACTTTTAAATCGGGAAAAAGAAAAGAATAAACGGGTGATGGCTGGGGAAAAACGGTACTTTTTAAAGAATACTTTATTTTAACCCAAAAAAAATACCCAAAAGGGGGGTCAGGGTTTTTTAATTTGTGGGCCCCCCCACAAAAAAAAAACCCAAAAAAATAAGGAAATATTCTCCTTTTATTTCCTCTCATCCTCCCCTTTCCTTTCTTTTTTTTCTCATCCCCCTCCCTCCTTTTTATTTCCTCATCCTCCTCCCTTCCGGCTTCCTTTTTTTCTCTTCCGGCTCTTTTTTATTTCCTCTCATCCTCCCTCCCTTTCTTTTCTCTTCCGGCTCTCCTTTTATTTCCCCTCATCCTCCTCCTTTCTTTTTCTCTTCCGGCTCCTCTTTTTATTTCCTCTCATCCTCCTCCCTTTTTTTTCTCTTCCGGCTCCTCTTTATTTCCTCTCATCCTCCTCCCTTTTCTTTTCTCTTCCGGCTCTCCTTTTTATTTCCCTCTCATCCTCCCTCCCTTTCTTTTTCTCTTCCGGCTCTCCTTTTTATTTCCCTCTCATCCTCCCTCCCTTTCTTTTTCTCTTCCGGCTCTCTTTTTATTTTCTCTCATCCTCCTCCTTTCTTTTCTCTTCCGTCTCTCCTTTTTTAGTTCCTCTTATCCTCCCTCCCTTTCTTTTCTCTTCTGTCTCTCTTTTTAGTTCCTCTCATCCTCCCTCCCTTTCTTTTTCCTCCTCCGTCTCTCTTTTTTATTTTCCTCCATCCTCCCTCCCTTTTTTTCTCTTCCGGCTCTCCTTTTTTTTCCCTCTTATCCTCTCTCCCTTTTTTTTCTCTTCCGTCTCTTTTTATTTAACTTACATCATTCTTCCCATTCTTTTCTCGATGTTGCTCTTTCCATTTCTCTTATCATTCTTCCTCTTCTTTGTTCCTCTTTTTTTCCTTCCACATCATTCTGGTCTTTCTTTTTCGTTCCTTTTATCTTTATCGTCTTCTCACGTCATCCTTCCTTTTTTTTCTTTTTTATTAACTTTCTTTTCTTTCGTATATTCGATACATATATACATACATATATATATATATATATATATATATATATATATATATATATATGATATATGTACACACACACACACACACATATATATATATATATATATATATATATATATATGGAGAGAGAGAGAGAGTAATATGTTTATAACACTTGGTTCAGACCTTCCTGTTGTTACTAGAACAATAGTATATTTTTATCCATTGATTCTTATATAGTATTACGTTTCCGGTTCCTTCTAAAGTTTTATTGTCTTCATACCTTTACTATCCTGGGTGAATGCTTAAAAAAATATTAAATGTTATCTTGTAAGGAAAGATTTGGGATTCATTGACTGAGCATCGAATGAAATTTCAAAATCTTCTCTTAAAACAATTTTTTCAGCAAAATAAGTTACCCGTTTTCCAGTAGCTTTTATTGCTCTTTCCAGTATTCATGGGTTTCTTCCTAATCTTTCTTGATTATGTCATTAATTTCATTTCCTGTAACAGGTGATATTCATTATAGCTGTTACTGCTGGAAGAAGTACTGAAGGATATGGTTCTTTATTATTCCATATTTTTGTTTGTGATTCTGTAATACCAGTTCACAAAGCCTGAAATACACACACACACACACACACACACACATATATATATATATATATATATATATATATATATATATATATATATATATATATATACATGAAGGAATCTGTACAAAAAACAGATATAGAAGTTATTGATTTAAATGATGAGAATACATCTTCGCAAACAAATTTAACAAAGTACATTAACCTCGAACCTGTATATGAATGTTATGATCCCTGTTTATAAATCTGTTGCATGAGGTCTTTTTTTAATTTTTACAGCTTTCGTCTGTTCCTACAGACATCATCAGGTATGGAAATAGATTTGTTTTTTTTTTTACTTTTCGGTAATAACAGGACAACGAAAATAGGGATGTAATCCGAAAATGTTTTTAGAAATGTGTTATTGTTAATTGTAGAAATTTTTTGAGCGTGTAGTGCAATTGAGGTTGAATTTTTAAATTTTAAGATTGTGTGTTTTTGTACTAATATGGTAATAGAAAATCTTTTGTACACGTAGTTTTTTTCAGTCAATGGGTATGAACTAAATTCTTCAATAAATACAAGAATGTGACAGTTATCCGGAAAGTTGCACGTCGGATCAGTTGTTTTAATATCAAGTATGTGGGTAGTTCAATTTACATTACATGAATATCTACAAAAAACAGGGATCATAATATCTATATACAGGTTTGGGATTAATCGTACTTTTTATTAAATTTGTTTCAAAGATGTATTCTCGCCATTTTAATTCATAACTTCTATATCTGTTTTTTGTATGAATGATTCATGTAATGGAAATTGAACTGCACTAAATACCTGATATATATATATATATATATATATATTGTCATCCACGGTTGAAGAGCAATGCTTAATAGCGGTTCGAGCCACTGTTTTAAATTACCCTTTTCTCAAGAAAACTCAACTGGATTTTTCCGGGGAGCATATATATATTGTCATACAGATAGACTGTTTCTGCTGCATCTGCGCCTTCAGTGTGGCTAGACGTCTGATTGCTTCAGAAACCCGACCGACTTTGTTGCATTTCAGTCAGAGATTCTACCTAGGCTATTGTCGCACGGCAGAGAGGAAGGGAAATTTTAACGTTTTTTATGCGAATGTGGTCATTGGCCCGGAGAACTCAATTCAGTTCGGTTGAAGATGAACAACATCAAGCTAATTGCTAATTACGTAATTTTGTACATCCATTTTCTTAACCAGCCAGATTAATGTATAGAGAAGTCTCTCCTTATCCGCGTTGATATGTTCAAAATGCCTTATTTGATTCCAGCAAAACGGGATACTACTGAACAGTTTATATACTATGACTTATAAGTTTTTTACTAGATGTTGGGAATTTAGGTATGTAATGTACCATCTATTATGGACAAAGGTATTTTTTTTTTTTTTTTTACTTATGTACACATAGTTATGATAGTTTGTTTTATAAATTAGTTACTATAGAAGATTGAATAACAAAATGACAACAAAAAACACTTATAGCAAGAATCAGAAAAGACAGCTAAAATTTCTTGGACATAATAAGGAAAGAAGGCATGGAAAATTTGCCCCTCACTTCCCCCAAGGGGTGGATATTTAAAGGGCAGGGAGATAGAAGAAGGCAGCATGCTACCTACATGGTGGAATGGATAGCCGAACAGAGAGTGAGTCTTGACAAAACGAGAAACACAGCTAAGGGTCACAAGGGACAGGAAGTTATGGAGAGTCATGATTGCCCATGTCTTAAAGGGATACGGCAAATAGAAGAAAATAATATTACAATTAAAATAACATACTGTAAATAAGTCATGATACGATTCATTCTACCAGATCTTAGCAACCTCAGCATACGATTTTTTTTTAATTTACGAGTATGGCGTATTTAGAGACATCTAGAGATAAAAATTGTAGCAAATCGATAAAGGCGCTGTCACGAAAAAGTAGGACAGCAAAAGATAAATGATATGAGAAAAACTTCTTCTTGATTCTTGATCCATTCTGAGAGTTGCCATAAAAGCAACAAGAACTATGAGTATGGTAAGAATAATGGAGATTATACATTTAGATTTCTTTAATAAATTAACGTACACGGACCACCAAAATGACAGTAATTATTAGAAAGTTTTAATAGTGAGATGCAATGCAATAAAAAGATGGAAACAGTTTTATTGCGATTAACAAAGCTAAGTGCCCTTAAATAAATAAGCAGACAAACAGCATAAAAAGGCCTCAAATCTTGATAGAAAACAAAGTTTTATCGTCAAAAATGATTGTTATTATTAAGAAGAGAGAACAAACCAATTTTTTAATCATTTTTTTTTACTCCTTTTAAAAATGGTTTTGCTTGCATTTTATGGGTAAAAGCCAAAGATTAATATGGTAAATTTCGAGCGTCTTCTTTGCGATAAAAATACACATTATTTTGAAATTTCTGTAAAAATCAAATTGTCGAATTTAATGAAATTTCAGAATTTCACAAATGATTGAAATTATTTTGATTTTTTTTATTTAAAGAATATTGTGAAAATATTTTTTTATTTACTTAATTTTATAAAATTTCAAAATAAAAATTCCAATTCGTCATAATAATTATATTAGTTAAAAAAGCAAAATTTTTTGGAATATTTAAATCATCAGCTCTTTTTTACCAAATACCATTTACTGAAAATCTGCTTTGAATCGTAAAAAAAAAATGCAATAAATCTATGACATTATCTAATTAGAAAAGCTTTTAATTGTTGATATAAATAAGACATATTGAAGATACATTGTCATAAGAAATTTTTTCTCGATGAAAGAACTGTTTACATTTTTTAAATTTTAATTAGAATAATTTATAAAGTTTCAAATCTTTTAAATTTTGGTACTTAATTTAAACGTTTTAGATGATATTAGTATCAATAAATAGTATATTTACTAATCATAAATGGAGAAGCTTAGTACAATTCATCAAATAATAATTTTTAAAAAGAATTTCGAATTTTTATGTGTGTATAAACGTGCTGATTTTTTCTACATACGGTAGGTCTATTAATGACATTATCAGAAAAATAAGAGCGATGACGATAGTAAATTTAAAGCCCAAATTTTCAAAAAATTCTATAAAACATTAGATTATGCAGAATATTTTCCTAAAAATTGTATGATTATTGAATACTTAAAACAATATAAAAAATTGCTCTAAGGTCATTTTCAATTATGCTTTATAGATAACCCCCCTAGAATAACATTAGATCTTGTCATCACGCCGTCAGTAAGTCAACACCTTAAAATAAACAGCTAATGCCGGCTTAAAATTGAATTTCTGCGATATTTTAAATTTAAAATAAACAACATTATTTTCAACCAAATTAATTATCCTTAAATCACTTAATATTCCTTAAATAAAGTTTCAGAAAGTATATTTATTTTTGGAAGATTTTTTAATTACGACGAAGGACGACTAAAAGGCGCTAATCAGTCTTTAAAAATCTTCGAAGTCAATTTAAATTTGTTTTTAAATATTGGCAAAGTATTTTTGCTTTATTAGAATATTAATTGAATTTATTTGCTTGATTTCTAAACTAAAAGAAAAGCTTCAAGAGTTTTCATTTTAAAATTTATTTTAAACCTTAGGTATCACATTTTCTGTGGTAAAATAAAGCATAGTTAATAAAGCGTAGTTAAAGAATTCACGACTAAAATAGAGTCCAATGTACTGTTTAATTAACTATTCGGCTTTTATATTGTTTAGACTTCAGTGGTATTCTATGATTCATTGATTGATCCTCGTATTCTTATATAAACTGCTTTTTGCCCAATACAGCGAAGACGATCACTTAATAGACAAAGCTATCTAATTGCTACATGAAAGGTTTGAACAAACAAAACTGTAATCTATGAAAAGCAGAAGAAGGAAAGTAAACATTAAACGTCTATTTGGCTCTGGACTATTTTTTTTTCTAAAAGATAAATAGTTTATTTGTATATATTATTAAAATGACTACAGAAGTAAAGCTCATAAATTTGTTAAAATACACATTGATAATTATTATATGGTTTGATACTTATTACTTATTTTGTGTAGTTTGTTTTTTTAGTTTCAATTAGCAACAGCTGTAGTAGTCATATATTGCTTTAGGTTTCTTTTTTTTTCTTTCTTCTTTTTTTCTTTTCTTTCTTCTTCTATGCACAGTGTCCCTTTGAAATATTGGTGGTTTACGTTCTCCACAATTTCATATTATTTTGTTGCTCTAAGTAATGTTTGACCCCTTACTAACCTACTCAAAACCTATTATGTCATCCATTTACGTTCGTCAGGTAGGTTACTCAAGTTCCCTCTGTCCCTCTGCCTTCTGTATGTCTTGTGAGTGACAAATTCTCCATGCCTTCTTTTCTTCCTCGTGTTTCAAACATTTAACTATCTTTCTATGTGAATTTTAGGATGAGGAGTTATTATTAGTTACACTATTTCTATGAGTTTATATGCCAGCAAAGGCTTCAACTGCAACAGCAGCAAATCAAAATATCAGCAGTACTCAAAATATAACAGACAGCCGCAACTTAATCAGCAAGTAGGTTAGCTTTAAAGCTCCAAGTTCACTACAGGAAATTGGGACAATAGCCTAGTAGATTAAAAGCTTTGGTTTGTGAATTTGTTGATTTAATGATTGTGAGTTCAATCCCTAGGTTGAGCGTTGTGTACTTGCACTTGGAAACGGGCCAAAAAAATAACTGAACAGTACTAAATAAAAAATAAGAACTAGACGCTACCCTAGACATGAACAGTGGAACAAGAATGAAGAGTAAAGAATTCAGCTCAGAATTCCTTGTAGGTTACGCAGATCGATATACAAATGAGGAAGATCAGATAACACCAATAAAGATGAGGACAACTGTCCGATTTTAGTGTAAATTATTTCAACTATCTATTTCTTATCTTAAGACTAAGTAACTTTAGTTTCTGATTTTTAAAAACTCCGTGTTACCACATGTTCGTCTATGATTTTCACAGCATTCTTCGTGTTGCTCCACTGGCACCTTGAGTCTCATCTTCATCTGTTAGGATATGGTACAGTATTCATCGTCATATAGAAAGATTGATATTACAATGTAGTTCAGCACTCCCCTTTTTTTCTAACAAAATTTTCCTATTTCTTAATACATTGTTTAACGCTTGGAAGGCATTTTTCGCCATGCCACTGCGCCTAAAGACTTCTGTGTTACAGTTTCATTATTACACTATTTTATCATTAGCCTTCTGCATAATTTCCATCTGTTAGCTCTTTTTTTTATTCGACAACATTTTTCACCGATCAGTTATACAGTGCCAGGTCAAAACCGATAGACGGGTGTTCTCTTTGAAAGGACCCGTACCTTGAACGACAGTTAGGACTTAAGTTCAATGTGAACCTCAAGTGGAAGACGTACATACGATTCATCACTAAAGAGGTTGGGAAAATGATCGGTTTCCCTGTACCAGCAATTACCCGACTCCTTCTACTATCCTTTGCCTTTACAAGATCTATATCAGATGGAAAATGGAGTACTACTGCCATATATGGACAAAAGCAGCCCGGTTTTCCTTTCCCAGTCTCAACAGAGTTCAAAAGCGTTTCTGTATTCTTGTGAGTGATGAATTATTTAAAACCCTAAAACCTCTTCCACGCAGAAGAAAAGTTACAAGCCTCTGGCTGCTCTATCGCTATTTCCATGGAAAGTGCACAGACGAACTACATTCCTTAGTTTCAACAGTTCTAACCCTAACGTCTAAGACCCGCCATGACATGCACATTGTAGCGAACGACCATCCTCTTTTCGTATTCTATTGACGAGATGAAACGTAACTTTGTGGAACCGACTTCAAGAGGCTACTTTTCCAATCACTACAATCTTTAACCTCCTAATCACTATATATATATTTGACTTGGTGAATTGTTTTGTCTATAATCGAATATCCCGTTCAGTACAGATTTGTTTGTCATCTGTCTTAACCAGTAGGGAATGCCTCAACTGTTATCCGTTACAAAACACATATATATATGGTATGGTATATCAGCTATGGATATGCCCTACTGGTTGCGGGACATATTGAAAAGCAAATCTGTGGTAATGAACGGGATATTTATTGTAGCCCATCTTTATTCAACAAAATATATAGATATATTGTGGTTAAGAGATTAACTAGTTCAAGTCTAGGATAAACTGTTGTCTTCCCCACATATCCCTATAAATTATGATTATTAAAATGTAATTCTGCTTGGAGTAGCTCTTGGACTTTGTACAGGCTGGAAATTACTTGCAAAATCTTTTAGAAACAGACTTTTTATATTACTGATGATGCAATAAGCAAGTGAAATAATGAAAGATATAAAAATCAAAAAAACTAATAAAAAAATATTAAAAAATAACTCTTTCTTATTATTCTTCGACAAACTAGTAGAAATGACAAAACATTTTTAGAACACTGTTGTCTGTATGGGTCGTTCATTAAAACTGATTAGTAAACTCTTTTTATTTTGTTTTTATAGATCGTGTCAAAATTAGTTGTTTTTTTTTATTATCTTCGCTGACCTTCTCGTTTGTTTTGCGCATGCGTTAAAAATGGACTTACCAACAAAATCAGGTTGGTCAGCAGAATTTGGGCAACACGCGTCAAGGGACTTTGATCAGAGTTGTCTCTGGAAATACGTCTTTCCAGATTAGCGAAAGAATTCGTCAATGAGGCTAAACTCGGGTTTTGCAAAGAACAAAAAAAAAATAATTAAAAAGTGATGGAAGAAAAAGGACCAAATAAAAGTTTGCAAAGACAATAAAGCGAAAAAACTGACAAAAAAAAGAAGCAATAACCTAACAAGAATAAAAGAAATTTTAAAACTGGTGTTGAGCGATGTCCGTAAAGAGAGAAAAATCGTCATTCTGTTTTTTTTTTATTTATTTATTTATTTTCTGTGTGGTGGGTGAGTGGGTTCTTTCACGGTTCTTCCTCCAGTTGGCAGCCCGTTTAACCAGGTTTGGACAGGTAACCCAAAAAAGAAAGATAAAGAAAAAAGATCAACGAAAGGGATGAAGTGTTCTTTACGCGCCAAATGTTCCCGCGAGTCGCACTGGCGTCGTGAGGCGAATGAAACGTGTGACCAACGTGACGACGGTGACCATTCGTAGTATTCGCCTCTTCCTTTCGATAGCGCTGTCAAAGAAACGGCGATGCCACTGCTAACAACTCATGCAAGATTCTTCGACCTATTCACTTAGGACTACTGGAATATCGGTTACCGCAAAGACACAGAAGTTAAGTAACACTAGGCCAGTAAGTACTGAAGAGGAAATCTTTTGGGAAAGAATACGAGAAAATTATATTATGAAACAAACAAAACAAGCTTTTAAAACTTCACACTGATTTCCATAATATCGGCAATCCATGACGACATTTTTTTACGTTAACCCCGCAACATTTGTGTAAATTATGTTGTTAATATGTGCTAGCAAAGAGAACATTGTGTTTGTTATCACAACTAATCCAAACAGATAAGAAATTTTTATATAAGATCATCGTTCCGTTTAAATCTGATCACGTAGTCGTCTACTGGAAATACAAACCTGAATTTACTTTACTTTGTGATCTTATGTCCATCGTCTTTTGTGTTAAATTATTATATGTTCTAATGTTAATTATGTTTAAATGAAAATGTCCATGAAGATGGTCTTAAATAGACCGAAACGTCCGACGTCGACTTTTACATTAATATTAATACAGCATAATTGCATATTAAGATTTTTGTTTGTTTTTTTCTGTATTTTTTTCATACTGTCGGATCTATATCCATATATTTGTTATAAATATAAATATATATATATATATATATATATATATATATATATATATATATATATATATATATATGTATACACACACAAACACACACACACACACATATATATATATATATATAATTAGAAGGATGAGTCCACTTTTTTTCGACAAATTGTTTCTGCATAGCGAGGAATCAGAGATCGAATTTTACTAATAATAATTATCTACAATAAGCAGTCACACCAGCCATAGCGACAAGGGTGGCGAGACTTCCCGTTTCTCTGTTATTTCTCGCATCACTGATGAAGGATACAGGCGTGCCCGAAAATTCCGGACTTCATTTTTGTCTTGTGGTTAATAATTAATATTTAATAAATATTTTTCGTACATATTACATTGGTACAATTTTCGTTTGCCCTTTGTTTTTTTTAACCAAACCCATCTATCATATGTGTATATATATATATATATATATATATATATATATATATATATATATATATATATCAATGAAACGATATATGCACTTATGCAGCTAGCAGGTGCTATGAGAAAATCAGTAAGGGGACATATTTCATTTGTGCTTTCTTTCAATCAGCCCAGTGGGCGACAAAGAATGACAGATGAATTTGTTAGCAGGATCTTGATGGCGTCCTTTGTTTCAGCGGATCACGGTGCTGGATACTGTGCTCTTTAACTTAATGAAATATGTTTACGCCACTTCTTTCTGGTTTGATGTTTGACATAGCAGACTAAAGCGATCTGGATATATATATATGAGAAAACATATAATATATGGTATATTTGCATAGCTGGTTGCGTCTCTCGGTATAGCTACTCGAAAGAATACTAGCCCAAAGTGGAATGGGATAACGATAGGTTAAAAAAGAACAAATCAAATAAAAGGAAAAGGAAGATTTTAAGGAATACACTTATTGTATTCTAATTTGCTTTTGAAAGGATGGATTAATATTTGATAGGACTTAACAGGTGTTCCCTGGGTCAGGGGTGGACCTAGGAACAACAGACATTAAGATGTGGTCTCCAGCCGCCTCAAATCACGATCGGCCTTGTTAGGGTCCCAGCTATGGCCGTAAGTCCAAAACTGTGGTCAAGACAGTTGAGTGTATATAAAAACTTTTTTATAGGCAAACATGAATTTTTTTGAAAAAAATTACCAGTAATAAATTTGTAATATTAATAATAGTATTAGTAATAGTAAATGGATATTGAGAAAGGTCCTGGTGTGCATAAGAGATTTGATAATACCGACACAGAATTCTAATAATAATAATAATAATAATAATGTGGGTGATTCAAACGATATCGTATTCTTGAGAAACACTTTGACGATAATTCTGAGTCTGCAAAAAGAATCCATGATGAAAATCTGTTGTGAAAAATATATATTTGTTACCAGGCGTCTCTTTTGGTGACAATTTACAGATCCCTACCGAAAGAATAATACAATCTTTTCATCAAGGCGTCACAAGCATAGTGTCTTCAGACGGTAAAGTGAATGTGCGATAACGATAGTGGTTAAAAGAACAAATCAAATAAAAGGAAAGGAAGACTTTTAAGGAATAATAATTCTATTGTATTCTAATAATAATAATATAGTTTTGACCCCAGAGAAGAAGAAGAAGAAGACAGGATGGAGAAGAAGAAGAAGAATTTGCAGAGAAGAAGAAGATGTTGAAGAACCCCAAGAAGGTGTAGGCAGAGAAGAAGAAGAAGAAGAAGCCCCTGGTCAGAGAAGAAGAAGAAGTGACCTAGGAGGAGAAGAAGAAGAAGAAGAAGAAGAAGAAGAAGAAGTCAGAGTTAAGAAGTGGTTCCAGAAGCTCAAATCCTCACGATAGAAGAAGAAGAAGAAGAAGTCAGAGTAGGGCAGAGAAGAAGGTAGAGAGGCAGAGAAGAAGAAGAAGAAGAAGAAGAAGAATTTGGCCCAAAGAAGAAGGTCAGACAGAGAAGAAGAAGAAGTGTATAAAAGATTTTTAGAAGAAGAACAGAAGAAGAATAATACATTTTTGAAAAAATTACAGAGAAGAAGAAGAAGAAGACAGAGTAGGTAGAAGAAGAAGAAGAAGAAGAAAATCAGAGTAGGCAGAGAAGATTAATCAGAGTAGAATAAGAAGAAGAAGAAGAAGTCATAGTAGGCAGAGAAGAAGTGAAGAAAAGAGTCAGAGTAGGCAGAGAAGAAGAAGAAAGGTAGGCCCAGGTGAAGAAGAAGAAGATAGGCAGAGAAGAAGAAGGAACCGACAGAATTCAGAGAAGAGGAAAGAATAATAACAAGAATAAAGAAGAAGAATTCAGAGTAGGGGCAGAAGAGAAAAGAAGGTATCGTATAGAGAAGAAGAAGAAGAAACAGGAGGAAGAAGATAAGAAGAAGAAGAAGTCAGAGGCAGAGAAGAAGAAGAATCCATGATGAAAATCTAGGCAGAGAAGAAGAAGAAGAAGAAAATCAGGTAGGCAGAAGAAGAAGAAGAAGACAGAGTAGGCAGAGAAGAAGAAGAAGAAGAAGAAGAATAGCCATGAAGAAGAAGAAGAATCCGAGTAGGCAGAGAAGAAGAAAAGAAGACAGAGTAGGCAGAGAAGAAGAAGAAGAAGAAGAAGAAGAAGAACATCCCCAGAGTAGGCAGAATTTTTAGGCAGAGAAGAAGAAGAAAAATAGGCAGGAGAAGAAGAAGGAAGAAGAAGAAGGAGATAGGTAGAGAAGAAGAAGAAGAAGAAGAAGTCAGAGTAGGCAGAGAAGAAGAAGAAGAAGACAGGATAAAGTGAGAAGAAGAAGAAGAAGAAGAAGAAGAAGAAGAAGAATCTTTTAGGCAGGAAGAAGAAGAAGAAGAAGAACGTCGAGAAGAAACTAATGAGAAGTCGAGTAGGCAGAGAAGAAGAAGAAGTCATATTAGGCAGAGAAGAAGAAGTCAGAGGAAACAATAAGAAGAAGAAGAAGAAGGAGTAGGCAGAGACAAGAAGAAGAAGAAGGAAGGTAGAGAAGAAACGACAGAGGGCAGAGAAGAAAACGGAGGAAGATAGGCAGAGAAGAAGAAAACAGCAAAGAAGTCAGAGAAAGAGAAGAAGAAGAATAGATAGAGTAGGCAGAGAAGGAGAAGAAAAGAAGAAGAAAAAATCGAAATAGGAGGCAGAGAAGAAGAAGAAGGAAAAGGTAGAAGAAGAAGAAGAAGACAGAAGAGAGAAGAAGAAGAAGAAGAAGAAGAATCAGAGTAGGTAGAGAAGAAAGAAGTACAGAGAAGAAGAAGAAGAAGAAGAAGTCAGAGAGAAGAAGAAGAAGAAGAAGAAGAAGAAGTCAGAGTAGGCAGAGAAGAAGAAGAAGAAGACAGAGTAGGCAGAGAAGAAGAAGAAGAAGAAGAAGAAGAAGAAGAAGTCAGAGTAGGCAGAGAAGAAGAAGAAGAAGAAGTCAGAGTAGGCAGAGAAGAAGAAGAAGAAGACAGAGTAGGCAGAGAAGAAGAAGAAGAAGAAGAAGAAGAAAGAAGAAGTCAGAGTAGGCAGAGAAGAAGAAGAAGAAGAAGAAAGTCAGAGAGAAGAAGAAGAAGAAGAAGAAGGAGAGAAGAAGAAGAAGAAGTCAGAGCAGGCAGAGAAGAAGAAGAAGAAGAAGAAGAAGAAGAAGAAGAAGAAGAGTCAGAGAGGTAGAGAAGAAGAGAAGAAGAAGAAGAAGAAGAAGAAAGAAGAGGAAGAAGCAGAGAAGAAGAAGAAGAAGAAGTCAGAAGAAGAAGGCAGAGCAGGAAGAAGAAGAAGAAGAAGGGAGAGAAGAAGAAGAAGAAGCAGAGAAGAAGAAGAAGAAGAAGAAGTAGAGAAGAAGAAGAAGAAGAAGAAGAAGAAGAGGCAGAGAAGAAGAAGAAGAAGAAGAAGAAGGTCAGAGTAGGCAGAGAAGAAGAAGAAGAAGAAGAAAGAAAAGAGAAGAAAACAGAGGATGAGAAGGAAAAGAAGAAAAAAAGTGATAATATAAAAAGGTGAAAAAGAAACAGACAATAATAAAAAGAAAAAAAATGAAGAAATGAGGAGAGAACGGGATGAAAAGACGAGAGAAATGGACGAGGAAGACGAAAAGGAAATATGAAAACAAAATGAGTATCATCAAGAAAAAAGAAAGACTAGTAATAATAATAATAATGAAGAAGAAGAAGAAGAAGAAGGAAGAGGAGAAGAAGAAAAAAGAAAGAGCAAACATGTGAACATATCACACACATTCGACTAGGTGTCATTATGGGGATATTGGACTTCATATATTTTGTCAGTGACAACCACAGGATTATATATGCAGGCGGGGAGAAAAATGAAAAAGGAATTGGATTGATACTAGATCAAGACATGAAGAAATGCGTTCTGGGTAAACGCCAGTTATCTGAAAGAATACTTGTTGTTAAACAGACATGAAAGCCTTTCAACACACCTATTATAATTGTGTATGTCCGACAGCACAGAGTACGGAAGAAGAAATTGAATCTTTATACTGCATGCTAGACAACGCCAAGGCTCAGTGTAAATTACAAAAAGTTATAATTATGATGGGAGACGTTAATGCGAAAGTAGGCAAGGAGAGGGATTGGAAAATAACTGGCAAAGTCGGACTAAGAACCCACAACAAACGCGGAGAAAAATGGGTCCAAAGGTGTACGGTGAATGATCAGGTAATAGCCAGCACTTGGTTCCAAGAACATTCAAGATGATTATGGACATGGAGAAGGCCAGAAGAAACTAAAAACCAAATCGACTGCATAATTATCAACAAGAGATCCAGGAATGTAGTTGTTCACTTCAAAACCTATCCAAGTGCCGACTACGGAAGCGATCGCCTCTCTGTTATATGTAAGCTAAGAATGAAACTACGGAAACTGAAAATGCTTAACTCAACACTCATATTGTAATACAACAGACTCCTGAACGACCAGGACCTGAAGGAAAAATACATGGACAGTGTGAAAAGAAATTACGAGGGACAAAATGGAAATGGAAACTCGAATTGGGACACACTAAGGGAAGTTTTAGTCACATCAGCAACGACATCATCCCAAAGGAAAATAATCGAAGAAGAAAAAACGAATGGATGACAAATGAGATTCTCGACATAATGCAAAGGAGACAGAAAACAATGCCAAGACACGGAACGGAATAAATAAAAAAAAACACGAAAAAATAAAGGACAAATGCAGACGGACTTAAGAAGAATGGCTCAAAGAAAAATGCGCAGAAATACAATGATTAAGTATCACAGATAAAGGAGATATGCATAAAGAATGAAAGAACTAACAGGAAAAAAGACATACTCATCAACAGGCTGCATACAATCCAAGAACAGAATACTGATATTAGAGAAGAGAAAATACTTCAGAGATGAACTCTTCAGGGAAAAAAAGAATAACGGGCCATAGACAGAAATACCAACGGACCAGAAATATTAAAACCGAAGTGGAAGCTGCACTGGCTAAATTGAACATAAACAAAGTAGCAGGGCCAGACGGAATTGCAGAAGAGATAGTGGCAGCCTTTAGACAACTTCGGCATAGACAAGATCACAGAAATAATAAATGAAATCTGCAACCTAAGTATGTCTATCTTCAACGTGCCTGTTAATTTCTTTCTGAAAGTTCTCCACTGCCTTAGCCGGGTATTAAACTCACACTCTTTGGGTCCTGTCACTGGATCTAATCAACGCCTTTATCCACTGTGCCATGTCCTGGACACAGGGCAGTGGAGAACTTTCAAAAGGGAAATTAACAGGAGATCACTGATAAATGACATCCATTAAAAATGGCACGTGGAACTAGAACAGTCTACCCCAGTGAGCGAAATAAAGGGTTCAGTTCGACATTCCAACCACCTGAAGAAGGCCGAGCGTACAACGGCCGAAACGTTGTAATAAATATGGCGACAAAAGATGAGGACAATATTCGAATAATGTAAAATAATGTACATAAGAACCTCATCTCAGAATTAGAGAGAAGAATACTGAAAGGCCGAAACGTTGTAATAAATATGGCGACAAAGATGGGACAATATTCCGAATAAATGTAAATAATGTACATAATACCTAATCTCAGAATTATAGACAGATATCGCAAGTTTTATTTCATCAAGAAAAAGGTTAGTCCTGTATTTGAAGGTGAGGAAGAAAGAAAAAGAATGGGCATTGCTTTCATTCCCAGAAAAGACGGCTAACATCAGGAAAATCAAATAATTTCTTCTCAACGGATTATGTTTTCGTAAATGAAGTGGACAGTATCCAGTTAAACAAGTCACCGTAGATACAAAAAAAGAAAAAAAGATGAATCTTTATACTGCTTTAACAAGAGTTCTATTTTGACGTCTGAGGGGGGAAATAATAAATCAAATGCCTTCTAGTGGTAGGATTTGTTCCAAGAAAAAAATAAGAAAAAGATAACCCCTCACTTTTTGTTAAAATAACTATAAAAATGTCGTTTCTCTTCAAGGGCGAAGACTCTCCACAAATTCTTTATTCTCAAATAATCCTGAACTTTTTGGGAAAGATGAAACGTGAAGATTTTCAAATTTTCCCTTTCTCTACTATTTGTAATTCGAGATTTCTTTTCTTAGGACAAATGTGGTTGCCAATCATGGCTAGAAAATGCGCACAGTCTACTGTTAATCTTTTAATCAATATCTGAGAATAGAAGAAACAAATTCATGCCTTTAGGAGAAAGCGGTACTTTTTGCGAAAAAGAATAATGAACAGAAATACCAACGGACCAGAAATATTAAAAGATCGAGATGCACTGGCTAAATTGAACATAAACGGATGCCAGATCGATAACCGTTGCCTTAGACATAGACCCGCGCATTCCATTTCATTAAGGTTCTCCACTCTATTTTATTATGTTTTATTAAAATTTATCCCTTTTTTGTATCTTGGTGATAAATTTTTTCTTTTCTTTTCGGTTACCGTAAAAATATTGCAACGGCTGAAACGTTTTTAATGAATACTGATTTGCTTTGAATTTCTTTTTTCGAAAGAAACTTATCATTTCAAACTGTTCGTTTTTACCTATTACCCATAAAATTTCTTCTTTTCTTTCTTTTCTCTTTCTTCTTTTTTTCTTCAATTTTTTTTTTTTTCGTCACTTTCTTCTTCTTTTGACGTCTTTGAAAAAATTTTCTTTCTTCTTCGTCTTATTGTTGTTGTTGAAGTCTTCTTCTCATAACTTCTTCTTCTTCTTATTTGTAACCTGAGATTTCTTCTTGTTGTTGTTGTTACTGCTTCTTCTTCTTCTTCTTTTTCTTTGTCAAGATTCACGGATTCTTGTTGCATTCCATTTGTTGTTTTTTTCTTCTTCTTCTTCTTCTTCCTTGTTCTTTTTTTTTTTCTTACTGTTCTTCTTGTTGAATTGTTGTTGTTGTTGTTCTGTTTCTTCTTCTTCTTCTTCTTCTTCTACTTCTTCTTTGTTCCCTTTCTTCTTCTTCTTCTTCTTCTTCTTCTTCTTGTTCTTCTTCTTCTTCTTTGTTCCCTTTCTTCTTCTTCTTGTTGATGTTGTTGTTGTTGTTCTGCTTCTTCTATTATTAGTCCTCTCTTATTTTCTTCCCTTTCTTCTTCACTTTCTTTTTGTTCTCTTTATTGTTGTTGCTGTTGTTGTTGCTGTTGTTGTTGTTGTTTTTCTTCCTCTTCTTCTTCTTCTTTTTCTTCTTCTTCTCTTTTTCGTTCTTTTCTTCTCTTTCTTTTTGTTCTCTTTCTTTTTGTTCTCTTTTCTTCTTGTTCATGTTGCTGTTGTTCTTGGTCTTCTTCTTTTTCTTCTTCTCTTTTTTGTCTCTTTCTTCTCTTTCTTTTTGTTGTTTTTCTTGTCGTTGTTCCTGAGGTTGTTGTTGTTGTTGTTGTTGTTCTTCTTCTTCTTCTTCTTCTTCTTCTTCTTCAAACAGAGTAAAATCAAGTCTTC